TAAGTCTATGAATTTCGTTACAAATTTGCAATACTGTGGTAAAGCCAAATACTGTGAAGGAGGAAACAGTGATCTCTGAAGAGAACAGTTAGATGCCACATAAAAAATAATTTACCTATGAATTAGTAAATTGATCCACCTGGTTGCAAACTGATTTGCAACAAACTTAAGGATCTAGCCCTGCCTGTCCATGTGTAGAAGCAATGTTTTTTGAGAGTATATCTGGAAAGGAAAGACTGGCATTGTGTAAATCTGTCTGAATAACTCTACTCCCCTTTGTAGTAAACTGTGTATAAATACTGTATAGACATATACACACAAATACATGTACCACGTACTTCCACTATACAATGTAATGCTTTCATTTGCCTTATCAGTTACTACTAAATACGAAATTAAGACTGGTGTACTATCATCACACTCAGGTTTACTTTTGCAGTGATAAAAATATAATAGATAGTATTAAAGACACACTTTGTTAAAAGGATAGATCTCAAAACTATGTGGCAGAGTAATCTTTACTATATTGGCAAGTATCTATTGGAATGTCCTGGGAATGCAACAGCAGAATGGATAAGGGAAAGAGTCAGATGCAAGTTTTCCCTCAGATTGTCCCAGATAAGTATGTCAGTAATTCATTCAATAACTCATGTATGCATTGTGCGTTTAAATGGAGAAATCACTAACACACTCTACTCCTTTGGCTTAAAACAGCCTCCTCCCTGTTGTGCCTTACCTTCACACCCTCAGCATTTTGCCCAGTGTGTTGTAAGAAGTGTATGCTCATCCTCTTCTCCCTTCTTAACCTTCTGTTAAGACATTTTTCCTTTTCAACCCCCAGGTCACAGTCGCAGCATGCGACCAGGGTAAGCACAACACACTGCAGCCCCAGCTACATTATAATGCTCCTTCACACAGGTGAGGCCAGGCAGCCCTTTGTCTCCCTCCCTGGTTGTGACAGGTATATGCAGAAATCCTGCCAGACACACGCGTTGTGCAGAACACCCAAGGGTTCCCCAGGTTTGCGTTATTTTGGATCAATTTATTATCCTTGTCAGACCCTGAAACTCATCATCATTGGTCTTGACTTCTCTGGGGAATGTGGCCGGAGGCTGTCATTCAAAGAACAATTTCCTCCTTCCTCTCCAAGTGGATTTATTTTGGCAGCTATCTATAAGCAATCCATACTGGAGAGTATAACCTGATCATTTCAGAGGAAGATTTCATTCTATCAACGACTTCAGTTTCAATCTACCAAGGTGTCACTTTTATACAGTTTCTGTGCAGGGTATGCCAACATTTTCAGTTTAGATTTCTGCTACAGACCATTTTTGGAGAAAACGTGAAATAATAAAAGGGGCTCCTACCAATAGTGTATGAAGACTATGCACACATAACTGTTTCTAAGACAACTAATTTCTCTTTGCTACTGCATAGTTTAATTAAGGAGAAATAGTCTCATAGCAAAACAAAATTTATCATAAATTTGTATTAAAGCAGAGTGTGTATGGATTTCACATGTGGTTAAAATCAGAATAATTAACAATAACAATACTGCATGATAGCTCATTAACTAGAAGCAACTGTAAGCTCAGTACCAATAGTAAGTGCCATAGGCCAGCAAAGGTGATATTCATGTGAAAAACCATTAACATCAGGGCACGCAGCTCAAATACTGTTGATGGCAAGAGTGAAGCTTGGAGCATCTGGTTCTGTGTCACTACGCTGTAGCAGCAAGATTTGTCAGACATTGCTGAGTGTGAAGTTGTTCATAGGGCAATTAAACCACAGCCCTCAGGGACAAAAGCAATAGCAGTGGAAAAACAATTTTTTTCTGATGTACCCCTTGTTATGAGAACAACTGTGACATAGCATCGTACACACACTGAACACTTAAACAAGCATAGCAAAATACTAGATAAACCAGTCATGAAGCTTAGAAAATAAGGGGAGTGTCAAACCACACTGACATCCTGCTCTCCCTGGTTAGAAGAATAAAATCTTCACTTTGAATAGTCTTTTTTAAGCCCAGAGGCTATAAAATCACATAGTTAATCTCAGATTTATGTTTAAATATCTGCTAAAGTAAGGCATTTTGTACCCTGTGTTGATTGATTAAGAGTTATGTAGGTACATGGTTCAAAGCACTTCAACTATTCCAGCAGTAATCAAAATATATCCATTTGTATTTAATAATTTCTACTCTTATTCTTCTATATTACTGTAGTCACTATTAATAGCCATAATTTATCTTCTGATACAACCAAGCCATTAGGAAATATATCTATAGATTCATTTTTTAAATAACATTAGGACATTACTCTTATCCATTTGAGCTAATCAAAAAGATGATCCTAACCTCTGTGCTTAACGAAGAAAAGTATATTGCAGAAACATGACCACTGGTGCAAAGCCAGGGAAAACACAGACAAATGATCCTGTCTGTTAGACACATTACAAGAATTTCATTCCAGCAATACCAGAGCCAATGAATTTAGGAAGAAATATCCATTGAATCCAAAATCTTTTTTTAATTCAAGACTATATAATCAAAACAACATCTTTCCCCCTCAAAATTCTGAAACATATGGATATTCCAGTTCTTCACACTACCTGAATTTAAAGTTACTCTTGCAGATTGTCATCTGTAATGCTCCCAGAGTACCACAAAATTTCTAACACTGTCTTCCATGTTCTCTGGTATGGAAGTGTCTAAAGAAGTTTTTGTGATTTTGAATGTCAGTTTTAGTAAGTCTGGTTACCTCCCTGTGCAAGCATTTTAGATTTAACATTACTAGAGTGCCCATGACTTCCACTCCAGATACATTTCTTAGCACTGATTTTTATCCTAACTGAGCAGTCTAAGAAATAAGGCACTTCCAAGCCTGTGACAAAAGGGTTTGTAAATGTGATTCTGTGCTCTTCTGTGTTAGCTGTGATTTGAAATGGCATCTCCCTTTTGTTCTATCATGGCAAACCTTCTCTCTTGCGCTAGTCTTAGCTTGGCCCATTTACAATGCATAAATGCAGCAACTTTACACTTACTCATTTAAACTGAAGATAATCAGTACTTAAAATAATATAACATATCCACTAAAATATCCAGTACTGACCATACATTTTACAGCAAAAGCTACTAAGTCTTTAGGAGGTTTCCTCAACTTTCTTCTGTAGTCTTCGTCCAATCATTCACTATATCGTTGCTCGTTTTACTGGTAATTATTACATAGAATGGCAATAGTTTAGACCTGAGAGAGGTTGATTTAACATAATTTTGGAAAAAATTAATACTATAAGATGTTTTTGTGCTATCTGATTGGGAGAGTAAAGGAAAACTTCAAAGAGCTCAAACTTCCTTAGGGTTTACATGCTTTACAATAACAGTATCTTTGTATTGCCAAGGAGGAGAAGGGAGTGGGGTGGGAGTGGAATGGGGGAACCAATAGACCTTCAAATTAATATTACACTGGCAGCAGGTTTTTACAGACTACTTTCAGGGCTGTGTTCTGACTCCATCCCTTAATGAACAGTTTGATTTAGAACTTAAAATTATTAAGTGTTCTAAGTGTTCTACCAGAGTCATAAATAATGCAGTTTATAATATTCCTATTGAGCATATAAAACTACATTTGTCTTCCATTAACAACACACTTTTTTTAAGTAGCCTGACCTCTTCAGATATATGCGAACATGCAATTAGTGCAATTTGTCACAGGTCCTTTACATTTTAATAAGATGTAATTAATTGTCTGTTTAGCCTAATTAACTTAGAAACCTTGACAGTTCTTGTACTATGGTATAAAGCACAGCTCTTTATTTGAATTGCTAATATTGGACAGAGTACCTCTATACAACAATAAATTTAAATCTGTATACCTTTGCAGACTAAAAGACACTGGGCTAACCTACCAATATTTGCATTAACTTTTCCAAAGCTTTTTTTAGCAATCTGTGCCAATATTTGCGAGTCGATGATATGCAGAAGTCAACATGTTTATGAAACTGCTGTAGTTACCATATAGTACTATCGGAATTCTATTAATGACACCACAACTGAATAACTCTGTTTCAATCATACGACTCATGTTTCATACATGTTTTAACAAATGAGTTACAGACTCAGGCCAACAGAGATTTAAATCCTTTTCATTCTTTGAAGTTAACCTGCAGCTCATGAAGAATGTAGTGAGGCATTAAACAGATGACCCTGGAAACATGACATTTTCCTGATCAGAGAAGGGTATCAGCTGCATGAAAGTAACATTGAACAGAGTTAACTGTTCAGAGCTCTTGAACTCTGATTTCAGGCTTTTTTTTTTTCCAGACGTATGAGATTATGACAATTTATCTTGATTATAATGCAAATCATTACTTTAAATATGACAGATTTATTTTATATTCTCTCCATGATGATTTGAAGTACTTAGAGGATTGAATTTGCAGATCAGTGACACTTAATTCAACTGAATAGTAAATAAAGGGCAGATTCAGGCATCTTGTCCTCTCCTGAATAAAATCATTCTATGTAAAAAATACAGCAAAAGTTAATGATCTTCAGAACCGTAGAAACAGGATAATGTGAGAATCTGCACAGAAAAAAAGCATATGGAGAACAGAAACCGTTCAATGAAGTGTTGATTTATGGTCAAAAAGAGCATATATTATACATTCAATGGAAGTTTTTGCAAGTTGATTCCCCCCACCCCAAATCCAGGAATAATTTCACAGTCTTGGGTTCTGTGCATGGCCCTTACAGAATGCTAAACAAGGGGATGTATAAATCTTGCCTGCTATAACGTATAGACACTGACAGGGACAGAATGAGCACCAAAGCAAATATGAGGTAGAAATGATTTTTTATTACTTTAGGTATTTCTAGATGTCAGATAAAAATGAGAGCATTGCTAAAAATTTTACAGAATGACAGCTGTACCTTATGGATAGCATTCTATAGTTTGATGTATGAGGCAGAAAATGTGAAAAATATTGTGAAGCACTACATTGACATGATGATGGAATGCCACAGGAAGCGAGCTAGCTCCAGAGGAATGTAATAGACTACTGTTAAATAAAAGAAGGAGACTTCAGGTCCAGCCAAAAAAAATAAAAGAAACATCAAATACTGCCTTTAGAAGAACAAAAGTTGCAAAACTTTGTTTCTTTTTTACACAGCTGCCCAAGTTCTGATGCTCTTTTTTGAGCAGGATTACCCCTCAGAGTTTCCATAGGTACAGAAGATTTTGCAAACATTTATACTACACCTTTGACAAAATACCAGAGGATGCAGCACCTCCAGAATACAGAATTTACAGTATGGGCTATTACAAGAGATTATGTATTTTTTAAAAGTACTTAAATAGAGCACATGAAGTCTCAATAGGCAGTACTTATGTGGCTAAAGAAATTTAAACTGTTATATTTTCATTTTTTTAAAGTCTGCTCCAAGCCTGACTAAACATGGTTTAGCCAGGGGATGTTTAGGTTAGATATAAGGAGGAAGTTCTTTACTGTGAGGCTGTTAAGATACTGGACCAGGTTGCCAAAAGAAGTGGTAACGCTCCATCCCTGGCAGTGTTCAAGGTCAGGTTGGACAGAGCCTTGGGTGACATGGTCTAGTGTGAGGCATCCCTGCCCGTAGCAGGGGGTTGAAACTAGATGATCTTAAGGTCCTTTCCAACCCAGACCATTCTATGATTCTGTAAGTCAAAAATGAGTAAGTACCAAATCTACTTAACATCCACTTAAATGTCCACTTAAGATCACAGATACATACCATAGATGCATCTGTATGTTTCATACATTATATAGAGTATTATCCTGTTCTCTCACACTAAAGCAAGTGCTACATGTTAAACCTCGGTAGAGCAAGAATGGCAGGGTCTGCCCTGCAAGGTGTGTTCACATGCAAACCCCATTCCCTGTTTAACATCAGGCTTGGATGAAACCTGCATAAGCAGTTTTCACTTACCTGGATGACTTCAGGAGGAGACCAGGCCTGCAAGCAGAAAGGGGTGATGGATGGCATGGCAGGTCCCTGATGCAGCAGGTCTGGTCGGGGCTGCAGAGCCTGCCTCATGCTCTGTACTCACCCCGCAGTGATCCTAATTATAGAGCCCCATCCTCACCACAGAGCGCAGATGTGATACAACTGGTGGTGATTAATAACAGTATTAGTTAATAGCATCATCAAGCAATGTACATGAAGAAATGAAATGCATGAAAATAATGAAAACAGGTCAAGATACTACTATGCACAAGACTCCACCTACTGAATACTTAGACCCAACAAACCTCAGCCAAAATGTTGCATCTAGCATTGAGCACAACAATTTAATGAGTAAAGACTAATTAAAAGAAGCTTAGAGAGTACTGATAGGAATAAGGCCTCCAAAACCTGATCCAAGCAGGAAGGCAGAAGAAATCCATTTACTAACCTTGGAAAAAAGTTGTAATGCCAAGTCACATGACAACAGATTCCCAAATACATAAGATTTGCTCTAAACTGATAGTAATAGATCTCTACTGGGGAAGAAAGGAGTTATTACATATTTGGGAGGTGAGAAAAAATCCTTAGTTTAGACATTAGAAAACCTGATTTTTAACCCCAGTATTTCAAATACACCTGTCAGGGATGCTTTTGGTACATTTGTTTCAGTACACGTAAGCAAGTAAGTTTGTCTTTTGAGGTCCATTCTAGGCTCAACTTTTCAAATAGTTCTAAAAATAGAAAGAAAAAGTCATTCCTAATATGCAGCAACATTTGAATGGAAGCAAACTTGTATCAGTAGTGACTTACAGATATTCTTTAGTTTCATAGCATGCATCTGAGGAGAAATAATTTTTGTCTGCCTATGAAGAAAAATCACTGCATGAGTTCTTACATTAATATATTCTAAATTAATGTGTGCCAGAGGAGAAAATACACTGAAAAAGTTTAGCATTGTTGACAGTAGTTGACATGCAGGTATGATTGATGTCTGACTTCCCTGCAAGGATAAATGGGATGCTGGCAAATGCCACATATACATAATGCGGTGAATTTTAAGCCAAATTGGTTTTCAGACATCATGCTTGACATTTTCCCCTCATACTTCAAATTATTCTTTGGTACAAATTGCATGTTTATGTAATGTGCTTTGCTGTACAGTCTGGTTTGATCACATCTCCTTTAGGCTTTCTCCAGGCAGCTGCAGTTATAAATAGGCCAAAAGCACAGCTTGTAGTAGAGATGAAATAGAGATTACCCCTCTTCAAAAAAAAGCAAAGCCAGGGAAGAGCTGAGGCCTTTGTGTCGAGCGATTAACAAGTACACTGAGTTATTACATTGAATTCCACTTACCCTGAACTGCCATCCAGTCTACTGCATCTTGCTTCTATTAAGAGGTGGTAAAATTAAAAAGGGGAACTTTGGCCTCTCCGATATGTGTTATGAAGTTAAAATAGCAAAACCACAGAGAGGCATTTCAAAGGGCTCATTGGCATATGGAGCGTCCTGGTGTAGCGGTTTAATAAGGTTTCAGGGAAGATACAGTCTTGTGATCTCAGGAACACGGATCCAATCTCTGGACATAAAAGATGTCAGTGGAAGTTTTACCCAGTGTCTCCTATGACACTGCCACGCTGCTGACTCTGGTTTGTCATGCTCCATGCCTGCTACTGAATAAGATAACCTGATCTATGCTTGAGGGCTTCCTTCTGTTGCTGTTTCTGTTTCATCAAAATAGTGGGTGAAGCAGACTTTATAAGCTTACAGGTTATATATTTATTCTTGGAAGACATACACAAAACCTCAGGCAATAAATGCGTGAGTGGTATTTGCTATTACAGTTCAAGACTCCAACTGCAATTCTCAAGTGTCTGTGCTACAAGGACTTGGTGCGCTAAGGTCTAGCTATGGAGTAGAAAACTAGTAACTGCAGCAGTAGCTGGTGATCAGCAGACTGTTGTTTGCTTTAACACTTTTAAGCATAGCACATTGATTTGCACTCTGCCAATTTCACACATAACTAAAATAGACAAAATCCTGAGTAAAGAAGGTGGAACCCTGATACTGATCCCTAGACTCATATTGACAAGTGAAAGTTCAAATGTAAATATAAACAGCCCGAGTTTCACCTCGAGTTAAACCCCCAGGCATGCTGAGAAAATGTGAACTGTGAAGATTTGCCTACAGGCAAAACAGTTTGCTGAAACTGTAGCACTCCGGTTAGAGACAAGTATGTGTGAACAGCTGTAAACCACTCAGTTCAACAGGCCTTGGCCCTGCTTTTCTCCTCCAAAAACCCCACCGCCCATCTGCCCTCAAACCCCAAAAGGCAGCTATCTAGCTATGTTAGGTTTGCATTTGCAATTCCTGCGCCCTTGAAGAATAAAACACCAAATCCAATCTGGAAATGCATACAGCTTCTTTCAAAATTTGGAGACAGAAAAATTAGTGCTGCACAAGTTATCCATTTTAAGATCAAGACAGCCTGCATCAACTTGTTTTATATTAATCCAGTTAAATATTATATTAGAGGTGAATGCTTCATGATCTACTCTAAAGTATTTAATTGAATCAAATGGCAATCTTTCTCCCTCACCATTTTTTGAAATTATATTCACTGCGCTCATCATGATGCAAACCGTCTACATCCTAGAGTTATGCTTTTGACATACATCCAGTTAACTCCCTATTAAGAATACAAAAGGAGAGATAATGAAGTTGCTAATTCCCAACTCTGGCAACTGTTCAAATGTATGCAAGTTGATCGATGCATTGAACTCCTATTTATTTTAGATCAATTCTGGTTGTGAAGTGCTGATAGGACTGCTCCCTATGCTACACTCTGCATGCTAACTATTCAATGTAAGAGGAAAAAATGCCAAGGAGCACTCAGGGGATTGAAGTAGCATCATATCAGATAGTGTGAAACCAGTTGAAACAAACCTGCCCTAAGCTACTGTATCCAACCATTAAAGTTTCATCTATGTCAACATTGAATGCTATTAACTTTCATATCTATTTATCAATCTTTCATATCTCTTTAGCAAAGAAACATCCTGACGGAAAGAAGACACATAGTTTAGCTATTATTGTCATCTTATTTCTCAAAACTTAATGAAAGCTTTAAAGGTTGATCTCACTGGATACTTTCCATCTTCTGATATCATATCAAGCTTTCTAAAAGTACAGCAATGGAGCCTTGCTCAATATCTCAACTCAATGCACAATTAACACATACTAGACAGCACAAAATAGCCTGCATTTAGATTAAACAAATGCTGCATAATAATAATTTTAATAAATACGTACACTTGTGTCAGTTAAGCAGTAATTTGCCTCCTTGATTGCCATTGATTTCCCTGCATCACAAAATCCCTTAAACTTAGGTAGCAGGTTTTGATGTTGCCACTCAATGACCCTGCAACAACTGCATCCGCAGCCTAGGTCAGAAGTACGTCTCTCCCTCAGAGAAAGTACTTTCATGGTGTGTAGCCACATCAGATTTCAGTCTGAGTGAGTGTATCTACACAAATTCAAGGAAGTCTGTATAACCCTCTGTTCATCATTAGCTTATAATGAAACTCATCTTAATCTAGGACTCTCTTGTCACAGCAAGAGTTAGCTAGCAAAAAGTACTAATCAAACCAGCTATCAGAGGTCCTAAAAGAAACATCAGACAAAAGCACAAAACACAGGAAGCTCTTTAAATCTCTTGCTTTTTCTGCCACCAGATTTCTGGCAGATTTGCATTCAGACTTCGGAGAAGAAAAAGAAAATACACATCCTTTCCAAAACATTCAAATTCAAACCATCAATAACATCAGAAAGGTCAAGAAGAGAACTGCTGCTAACTGGTATCATAGACTATACAGCAATCATTCCTGCAATTCTAAAAAATTAAACCAGGTCAAACCGACATTGTCCTAAATTTGTTTAATAACCAAGTTCAAAATTGCTGCTCAACACTGACTCAGCGTCTGAAAGTGGTAGTATGCACGGTTCAGTTTATACTTACCAATAAAATGATTTAGAAAACACACATTTAAGACTTTGGATTTTGATTTTACAGCTTCTAAAAATAAGCAAAATAATAATTTTCTCTTATTGGAGCT